ATTGCCATTTTAGCAGATATGCTTTTCCCAGGCTGCTGAGGTCACTAAGGGAAGGACTCGAGATGGCACTGTGGCTGGACTTGGGTGTGCAGGGCAAGCGCGGACAAGCCCGAGTGGCTTGGTGAGGCACTGACTAGAGATCCCTGGGGGAAGGCATGGGGCTGCCCCGGGATTCCAGTATCTGTGACAACCACAGCTGCTGTGCCCTCTGCTCTCCCGGAGCCCTCAGCGGGGGCCACCGAGTTCCTCCATAGGGAGCCACCTGGGAGGTGGGCGAGGCGCTCCCTGCCCAGGCCTGGGCCCCCTTTGTCACCATGGGTGCGCTGGTGTAACCCGAGCCGGCCTTGCTTCTATGTGGGCAGGCGGAGCTGCCTGGGCCCAGGGCCAGAGAATGGAGTCAACGTCAGCTCCGTCACCGCGCTCAGTGCCAGGGCTCTGCAAACAGACTGGAGTCACGAAACCCAACAAAGCGTCCACCTGGGTTGTCATCGTAGCCCCAGCGCTGTACAGGGTGGGGCTGCTGGCTGGGCCGCTGGGCTCGGTCTGGTCAGGGTTACCCCAGGAAACAGGCTCCCTGTGGGCACAGATGGAGGCGATTAGTGGGGATAGCCTGAGGGATGCTGTGAGCCTCCCTGGAAACCTGTCCTGGGGAAGGGAAGGTAGGTGGGGAGCTGGAGAAACTGCCTTTTCTTGTTTCCTTCCCCACACTTCCTTCTCTGGAGAGACAAGCTCTACCCCATGCCAGGGGTTAATTCCTCAAGGAGGGGATGGTGGCACAGGATTCAGGGCGTGGGAGGAGCCACATCCTTCCAGGGGAATGGAGGAGCCCCAAGTTTCTTGCCTACCCAAAGGGGGCAGGCTTGAAGGGGGTACCCTGCTGCAAAGATGACAAGTAGGAAGGCAACAAGTTTGTGTTAATTCAACAAACACCCGCGGACCACAGAGTTGAATGCAAGGCAGAGCTGAATTGGACATGAAATCTGTCTGTCCTCAGGGAGCTGAGAGTCTGGAGAAGCTCAGCCACGGCCTCAGCCACTTTGTTTGCCTGTGGTTGACCCAAAGTTATAAGGGATTCTGTCGCGGGCACTATTGGACACATGGCACTCAGCACCGTGCCTGGCACTTCGGCAGCGCTCGCTCTGTGAGTTTGTTGAATGGAACCCAGTCTCAGAAAAGTGCCGCAGGAGACGTTTTGTGTCTTTATTCCTCACCATTAAATCTCAGAGCCTGGAGCAGAGTGGTTGCTCCATCAACATCAACTGAAAGAAAAACTGAAAAAAGAATAAATAATGAATGAATGAGTGAGTGAATGAGTGAAGCCACTGGAAGTTCAAGAACGTACCGGGGATTTGGCTCAGTGGCACTGTGCCTGCTCAATATCCTGAGTTCATCCCCGGTACCAAAAAAAAAAACAGAAAGAGGATAATGAGGTCCTGTTGGAGAAAGAGGTGTGAGAACAGAAAAGAAAGATCTGGTATTTGAAGGCCTCCTGATGGGGGATCTTCTGAAGAACTCTGTGAGGACTCCTCTGAGGAGTCGAAGGAGCACCCTGAATAGCAAAATCAGTTCTAAAATAGCTAAACCCATGCCAGTCTGGTGTCACCCCCCTGTGATCCCGGCATTCTGGGAGGCTGAGGCAGGAGGTGGCAAGTTTGAGGCCAGCCTGGGCAATTTAGCAACTTACAGAAACCTTCTCACAAAATAATAACAAAAAAGGCTCTGGGAATGCAGCTCAGTGTGAAGGCCCTGGGTTCATCCCCCAGGACTGAAAAAAAAAGTCTGACCCCTGAGCCTGGTCTTTGGGACCCACTGCAAGTCCGACCTGTGTAGTTGGTGGCTTGTGGAATTGTTCTTGCCAAGATTTAGTGTCACCAGGAAAACCTGAAGTGCTCGAAGTAAGGAGGCACAGGACTGGGACACGTCACACCATGGGTGACCTTAGTCCTGTCACCCCCACCTTCCCACAGGCCTCCATCACAGATGCACATTCCACCTACTCCCGTACCACCAGCAATCCCCTCACGTCCCCTGCAGCCTGGTCAGGCAAAGTGTCCAGCCCGCTATGCACATGTTCAGAACAGTTAACCTGCCCACATCCTTTCTGGGAAAGCTGCTGCAAGGAGTGATCCACCGAAAGAAGGAACTGAGGCCATTTTGGTTGGATCATTTGGGTTTGTTCACGCTCTTTTTTTTTGTCAGCCTGTAGAGTCTCTCTGCTCTTGGTGTCCTGGAAGTTAATTATGCTGTACCTGAGTAAAGTTCTGCTGCTTTTTTTGTGGTACCAGGGATCGAACTCAGGCCTTGCACTTGCAAGGCAGGCGCAGAGCCACTGAGCTAAATCCCCAGCCCTGTTTCTATGTTCTAGCATTGTCCTGGGTGCTTGCTGTGCCCTTTACACTTGGAACTCAAGGATACTTCAGTTGAGTTTTGGAAATCTTTCTTGAATTATTTTAACGACAACTTATTTATTTATTTATTTGGTACCGGGGATCAAACTGGGGACCTTGCACTTGCAAGGCAGGTGCCGGGAACCACTGAGCTAAATCCTCAACCCTAATGATAACTTTATTTTATTATTATTATTATTATTATTTTTTTTTTTTTTTTGGCACCACGGATCAAATTCGGGTCCTTGTGTTTGCGAGGCAGGCCGCAGAACAACTGAACTAAATCCCTGGCCCGATAACTTTATTATTACTGCTTTTTCTCTTCGCTGTGGACCTCCTTCTTGTTCTAGAATTTTATTTATTCATATTTTTTGAGACAAAGTCTCACTATGTAGCCCAGGCTCCCTTGAACTCCAGGTGATCCTCCTGCCTTGGCCTCCCGAGTGCTGGGATTTATAGGCATGTGCCCAGCTTCCTACTCTTAGTTTAAATGTCACCTCCTCAGGAGATGCCTGACCTATTAGTATAAAACAGCCCCCCGACCCAAGCAGTAGCTCCCACTGCCTGGCCCTCGTTCCCATGATGCTATCCGTGTCTCTCTGTGGTGGCCTCTGTCCATTGGAAGGTGGGTCTCATCTCCTTGTCTGTCTTGTCCACTGCTTTCATCCCTGGAGCCTAGAAAACCTGGCATACATATTGCTTGATTCATTAGTTGATAAAGATGAGATTTTCAGACAATACTCAGGAGCAAGCATGCTGTCGTTGGATCCTGGAGGTCTGTGTGTGGTTAGGAAAATGCAGTCACTGAATGCCACCCGTTTAGATGGCTAACCACGGCCATGCCTGTCAGTTCTCTTGTGCTGTGGCCCTAATTGCTGCTCTTTGGAAGTCCTGGGAGTTCCAGGGGCTGTCCCTGCAGGCCCGGGCAAACACTGGGGCCTTCTCCTCCTGACCCTTGACTCTGGGTTTCTTTGTTTTTGTTTTTTGTTTTGTTTTGGATTAGACTTTCCAGGAAACTTGCATCTGAAAAAAGACTTATAAGGCTCAAACAAGCTTCAGTTATTTTTTTATTTTCCTCTGCTACTGGGGATCCAACTTTGGGCTTCAAACAAGCTAAGTAAGTGCTCTACCACTGAGCTGTATCCCCAGCCCTGAACTGATTGCTTTAATGCTAGGATAAATTTTGTTGTTCTTTTTCTGTGCCTATGGTATGGGGGATTGCCCCCAGGCCCTTTGCACTGATCTATATCCCAAGGACCTTTTCTGTTTTCTGTATTGAGTCAGGGTCTCTTGAAGTTGCTTAGTTGTCCAGGCTGAACTTAAACTTGTGATCGTCCTGCCTCAGCCTCCTAGAATGCTGACATCACAAGTGTGTGCCACTATGCCCAGCACCCGGCTAAAATTATTAAGGCTGCCTATGAACACACAAGGAGAGGCTAACATTTTAGCCATTTAGGAAAGGGAAATCAAAACCACAGTGAAATAAAACTTTACACTTACTAGGGTCACTAATAATAAAAAAGACAGCCAGGTGTAGTGATTCACACCTGTAATCCCAGCACTTGGAGGCTGAGGCAGGAGGATTGCCATGAGTTTAAGGCCAGCCTGAACTACATAGGGAGAGATCCTCCCTCAAAAAAAATCAAGGCTATGCTATTGTAACTTGGAGGGGATGCCTTATTCTTTGATATGTTAAAGCCGACTCATAAAAGCTGACTTTGGAAGAATGTTGCCCTTCATCTTCTGAGTGAAAGGTCTTCCATCTGACACTGTCCATTTTTTTTTTTTTTTTTGCAGACCCTGTGCTTGCCAGGCAGGTGTGGCTCCACCGTGCTACCTCCCGGCCCTGACACTGTCCTTTTTTAGGACAAATCATTTATGCCAAGGGCTGGGGATGTAGCTCACTGGTGCTGTGCCTGCCTGGCAAGCACAGGGTGCTGAGTTCATTCCCCAGTACCAAAAAAAAAAGACATTCATTTATACCAAGACCAATGATCACAAGTTCAAGCCTAACCTGGGTGATGTCATGATTTATGGAAAGACCCCGTCTCAAAATAACTTTTAGATAAGGCTGGGGCTGAACTCAGAATGAAGCCCCTGGATTCAATCCCCAAGACTTCAGAAAGAAAAAAGGAAAGGACAGAAACAATTTATCTTTTTTTAAAGAAACTTATTTTATACTAACCTTAGATTTACATTACAAAAAATGGAAAATATAGTCCCAAGAGTTCTTGTATACCCCGTGCCTAGTGTCCCATTACTAATTTCTTTCTTTTATTCCTGAGACATTGAGACTCTTGTACCTGCCTCAATATCCTGATTTGATACAAAATGTTGACCTTTCACGGTCATTTTGACTTTGGGAAAGAGCCAGAAGTTGCACAGTGCCAGATCTGGTGAAGAAGGTGGGTGAGGACAGGCTGTCATGTTTTTACCAGGCTGCTTTTCCATTGGATGGCACTGGCAGCCATGTTCGCGGTATTTTTTTTTAACCACACCTCATAAACACAGTCACGTAAGCGCACTTCCAGAACTGCTCCAGAAAGAGGCAAGAACGATGGGATAAGTGTGTTTGAAGCGAGGGAGAGTTTTCTGTTCTCCTTTTTTTTTGGTACCCAGGATTGAACTCAGGACCTTGCACTTTCGAGGCAGGTACAGTGCCACTGGAGGGAGAGTTTTTTTTTTTTTTTTCTTTTTTTGGTACCAGGGATTGAACTCGGGTCCTTGCACTTGTGCAGCAGGCGGCAACACCACTGAGCTAAATCCCCGGCCCTATGGAGGAGAGTTTTTTGAAGTTGATTCATGGCTACGTGTATTTTACTGTAGTACATTTTAAAAAATTTAAATGTGGGCCGGGGATTTAGCTCAGTGGTTCCACCACCTACCTGCAAGCACCAGGTCCTGAGTTCGATCCCCAGTACCCCCCCCAAAAAAATTTTTAATCATTCACTGTGTATTTTGATCACCTCTTATAGATGGTAATAGAACATGTCCATAGAGGCAAAGTAGATGCACATCCGGGAAGCTGTATGGTGAGAAGATGAGAGACCTAGGAGGAAGAGAGCAGTGTTCACTATAGAAAGTCACAGTCCCTGCCCAGTTTCTGGAGCTGAGCCAGTTGTTCCTGCTCTGCAGATGGAGGGACCCCAGCGAGAGCCCCACAGACTCACACCCTGTGCCAGCACCCCGTTGCTGTGCCTTCCTCGAGGCAGGGACCAGCGGGCAGGAAGAGGAGTCACTGTCTTGCAGGGTAACTGACCCTGTCATCAGGAGTGGCTGGCTGCTGTCACCCACAGGAGGGACAGAAGTTCCTGTGAGACCTGTGACCAAGGAGGTGCCCCTTTGTGCTCCCCTGGCGCAGTGCAGGGATAGGTGAGCGGCACAGCAACCCCAGGCTGAGAAGGAAGTGAAGACGGGACTCGGCCCCTCCCTGGGAGTATCTGTGGACAGCTTGGGTGTGAGCATCTGCTCCCTCCCTGAGCCCAGCAGCAGCTGTGAGGACTGTGGTCTGTCTGTCTCCTGACCCTGCTTCCCATGGCTTGTGTGGAAGAAAGGCCCTGGGCAGAACCTGAATGGGTGACTCAGAGTGGGCTGCAGAGGACGGGAGTCACCAGGGCCGCTCCTTGGCTCCGTTGGCCTTGCATGGCAGGTGAGCCTGTCCCTCTGGGAAACCCTACTTCCTTCCCTGCAGTCCTGAGGTACATCCTGCACCCCGGATTCTGACTCAGTCTGCTTCTGCAGAGCTGCACCTGTGGCTGGCTGGCAGAGGCGTGGTCCCCAAACAGCCCCTCCTCTAGCTAGCCAAGGCTCTGCTGAAAGGTTGGGTGTTTAAAAAATATTTGTTTCTTTATTTTTGTAGTACAGGGGATTGACTCCAGGCCATTCTCACTGAGCTACATCTCCAGCCCTTTCTTTACTTTTTTTAAAATTTTGAGACAAGATCTCACTAAGTCCCTGAATTGCTCAGGCTGGGCTCAAAATTGAGATCTTCTGCTTCAGCCAACAAGAGTGGTGGGGTTAGAGGCGTGCGGCATCCCACCCACCCTTGTTACTTATTTTGATTTAAAGCACATCGGGTCATCTGTTCCTCTCATTTAGATAACCTGCCCTGGACTATCCTGGGCCCTCCAGGGTCACTCAGGCCCTTCTCAGTATGCTTTTGTTCCATGAGGGACACCAGCCAAGCCCACCCAGCTGCTGCTGCTGCTGCTGCTGCTACTGCTGCTGCTGCTGCTGCTGCTTCTTCTTCTTCTTCTTCTTCTTCTTCTTCTTCTTCTTCTTCTTCTTCTTCTTCTTCTTCTTCTTCTTCTTCTCCTCCTCCTCCTCCTCCTCCTCCTCCTCCTTCTTCTTCTCCTCCTTCTCCTCCTTCTCCTCCTTCTCCTTCTCCTTCTCCTTCTCCTCCTTCTCCTTCTCCTTCTCCTTCTCCTTCTTCTTCTTCTGCTTCTTCTTTAATTTAAAAGGGACTTGAGGGTCAAGGGGAAAAAGGGCCCTGCCAGCTTCTGAATATGCTGGTGAATACCCTGGTTTGGAGCTCAGCAGAGAACCCCGGGGTGAGATACTGGGCTGATCATTCAGCTGTACACAGCACATCTGAAAGGCTAGGCTCTCCCAGAAGATGGGCTCAGGTGGTGTCTTAGTTATGTTCGTATTGGGACAGAAAATCCAGCACTTGCAATTTAAAGGAGGAGAAGTTTATTTCACGTTTTATTTAATTTTTTTGTCTGTTTGTTTTGAGAGAGAAAATCTCCCTGTGTAGATTAGGTTGGCCTTGACCTCCTGGTGATCCTCCTGCCTCAGCCTCTCAAGTGCTGGGATTACAGGTGTATGCCACCACACCTAGCTGGCTCACATTTCAGAAGTTTCAGTCCTTCCTGGTCAGTAAGGCAGAATGACATGGCAGAGGGACACGGCAGAGGAGAGGTGACCACAGCTGGTGAACAGGAAGCAGAGGGAGACCAAGGGAGGAGCCAGAGAGGGGCAGACTCTTCTGCGGCGTGGTGCCCGCCTCTTCCAACGCATTCCATCTAGATGCGTCAGCCATAAGCCTCCATGATGCAGCCGCCTTTCAAAAGCCCCAGATATGGTCTCTTTAGGCTTTAGGGGAGTCTAGATATAAACCACAACAAACAGGAGCAGAGGGCTGGTATTGTGGGGGTCACCTCTGGGGAAGCGCTCCGCTCAGTGTGGACGGCTTAGAAAGGAAGGGGAGGAGGGCCAGGATGGAGGAGACAGGGACATCCAGGCCACTCATCAGCCCAGGGGTTCAGAGCCAGACTGGGCAACATAGTGAGGCCCCCATCTCTTAAGAAGAAGAAAGAAGGAAGAGTAGCAGCTTTTACTAAAGCCAATGTGATCTAGTTACATAGAAGCAAACTCACTTCCTAGTTTAATCATTACCTTTGCTTACATGTGTTATGTTTTGATTTATTCACCTACAGAGGGATAGGCATCCACTGCTAAAATGGGTACTGCTAGCTGTTGTGAGAATCAAATGAGTCACAGTAATCCCAGCTCTCGGAAGGCTGAGGCAGGAGGATCACTGTGAGTTCGAGGCCAGCCTGGGCTATACTGTGAGTTCGAGGCCAGCCTGGGCTACACTGTGAGTTCGAGGCCAGCCTGGGCTACACAGTGAGTTCAGGGCCAGCCTCAACTACAAAGGAAGACCCTGCCTGAAAAAAAAAGAAAAGAAAAGAAAAGAAAGAATCAAACAAGTCAAATCATTTGGAGCCAGGCACCTCTTGCCAGGCACCTCTTGTTCTAAGAGCTGATGAATGTTGTCATTCTTACCAGTGCTAGGTGCTTACATGCAGGCCCCAGGGCCCTGCCCCTCCCAGCGTTCCAGAACAGTCCTGGCTGTAGCCTGTTGTCCTGGAGTAAAGGTCATCAGTGCCTTCTTTGTCTCCCAATTGTCTCCCAGCTTGGGTAATCATACAGTCACCCCCACAAGATAGAATCCAATCACTACAGTTCTGTGAGCTGGATGTTGCTATCCCAGTTTACAAGAGTGTGGGAACAACACTGTAGCAGTACAGGTGAGGAGGCTCAGGGGAACCATGTCTTCAGGGGGTCCCCCCAGGTTCCTGCCAGAGTTTTGCCCTTCACCTCCGGGGACCCAGGCTAACTGGAGGGCGGCCCCAGGTGACGGCCAGCAGCCTCCCTGGAACACTGGGCACTCAGGAGAGCCACGGGGAGGGCTGGGCATCCGGCCTGGGCTGGGCGGGCCCCACCAGAGCCCTGCTGCCAGCCGGATCTTTACAGTTGGCCCTGGCACACCAATGCACATGGGCACTCCTGGCAGCCCAGGGTCCTCCCAGTTCCACCACTGCTCTGGCCAGTGCTTCTCTTACCAGGGTGGTGTGCGTGTGTGTGTGTGTGTGTGTGTGTGTGTGTGTGTGATGAAAGGTAAGCACTCTACTGCTGAACTATATTCCTACATCCTCAGCCCTCTCCTCCTTTCTGAGACAGGGTCTCACTGTGTAGTCCAGACTGTCCCGGTACTCACTATGTAGCACAGGCTGGCCTCCAATCCAGTGACCTTCCTGCCTCAGCCTCCCAAGTGCTGGGATTACAGGCAGGCATGTGCCACCAAGCCAGACTGGAGCCTTCCTTTTCTTTTTTCACTCTCTCAGTTTTCAAATTTAAGAAAATGTTATCTTCACTTTGGACCTCCTTCTTGTTCTTCTGCCACACCTACAGGTTTTGCTTTTTATTTATTTATTTATTTATTTAGGTACCGGGGATTGAATTTGGGTCTTTGTGCTTGCGCAGCAGGCAGTGAAACCACTGAGCTAAATCCCCAGCCCTCAGGTTTTGCTTTTTAGAGACAAGGTCTTGCTTATGTAGTTCAGGCTGGCCTTGAACTCACTATGTAGTCTTGGTTGACCTCAAACTCCCAGCAATCCTACTGCTTCAGCCTCCTGAGTGTTGAGATCACAGGTGTGTGCCACCGTGCCCAGCCCCAGTCCTTTTTATTTTTTATTTTGAGGCAGGGTCTCCTCGAGTTACTAAACTGCCCAGTTTGGGCTTGAACTTGGGATCCTCCTGCCTCTGCCTCCCACAGTGCTAGGCTGTAGCTGTGGGCCACCAATCCACAGCTCATACCTGGAGTATTTTATATCCCTACAAGCAAATTCTGAGAGGCACTAAACAATCTGGTTTCGGGTTTTGGGACTGAGGTAGGAATACCCAAATTACCATTTATGTGACATTGGCCTAACTCTTACATCTTTTTTTTTTTTTTTTTTTTTGTGCTGGGGATCTAAGTCAGGACCTTACACTTGCAAGGCAGGCGGCAGAACCACTGAGCTAAATCCCTGGCCCGACATTTGCCTAACTCTTGTTATGATTATCTGACTATTCTTCCGCTTCCCTGATGGAATAGATATTATTCTTGCCCTGCTTTACCAGGTAGAAACTGGGTGCCGAGTCATCATCAAATGGTACAGCAATGAGGACAGGGCCCGGACTTGTCTGAGGCCCCCGGGTGAACTGCTGGGCTGGATCATTCAGAGGGACCTAGGAGAGGGAAGGAATGTAAATGTGCATGGGGGGCACATGTGTCACTCAGTCCAGTCCCACAGCACATGTTTGGCTTGCTCAAGGCCTGGGTTGCATCGCCTACACACATGAAGTGTGGTGAGGGGAGGTTCCAGAGAGGTGTCACGAGTTCACTCCTTCAACAAGCAAGTGCTGACAGCAACAACAGTACTGAGAGCAAGTACTGAGAGCAGTCCCTTAGTACTGCAGGGGCTCCGCTCCAGACCCCCACAGACACCAGAATCCATGATGCTTATAAGAAACATCCTCATGCCTGGCATGATAGAGCACGCCTGTAATCCCAGCACTAGAGAGGCTGAGGCAGGAGGTTCACCATGAGTTCAAGGCCAGCCTGGGCTACATAGTGAGATCCTATATCAATAAAACAAACAAACAAATTAAAAAAATGAAAAAAGGTTCCATTTTTTTTTTTGTTTTTTTGTACCAGGGATCCAACTCAGGACCTTGCACTTGGAGGCAGTTGCAGTGCCACTGAGCTAAATCCACAGACTTACCATATTTTTATCTAAGCTATATAATCTTCCTGTACACTTTATTTTTCTTGAGGGGAAGCGGGGTTTGAGACAAGATCTCACTATGTAGTCCAGGCTGGCCTTGAACTCACTATGTAGCCCAGGCTAGCCCCAAACCCACTGCAATCCACCTGGCTCAGCCTCCTGAGTGCTGGCATTGCAAGTGTGTGTCCCCGTGCCTGGCTTTCCTGTATACTTTACATCATCTCTGATTACTTATACACCTGATACAGTTAAATGCTATGTAAACAGCTATACTGTATTACTTAGGAAATAATGACAAGAAAAAAAAAAATCTAGGGCCAGGGATTTGGCTCAGCGGTTCTACTGCCTGCCTCGTAAGCGCAAGGACCTGAGTTCGATCCCTGGTACAAAAAAATAAAGAAAGAAAAAAAATCTACACAACCATCACAGGACTGACTATATAGTATACCTCAGCAACAATGTAACTTTTATGTATGTGTGCATTTCCTGGGGCTTGAACTCAGGGTCTTGTGCATGCCAGGCAAGTGATCTACTTCTGAACTAAATCCCCAGCTCAGCAACATACAGCTTTTAAAAATGTTTTTGAGACGCCTAAGATGGTTGAGGGGGTGAGGCAGGAAGAGCGTCATGAGTTCTAGGCCAGCCTAAACTACATAATGAGACCCTGTCTCAAAACCCCAAAATAATATATATATATAATGTATATATACTTTTTTTTGAGAGCATGCCTATAATCCTACTACTCTGGGAGGCTGAGACAGGACGGTCACAAGTCCGAGCCCAGTCTGAGCAGTTTAGTAACTTACCAAGATCCTATTTCAAAATTTAAAAAAAGGGGCTGAGGATGTAGCTCAGTGCAAGGGCTTGATCCCCAGTACTGAAAAAAAAAAAAAAAGAGACCCACAGTTGTTTGAACCTGAGAAGTGGAAGTGCAGGTACGTAGGTCCGGCATGTAATATGTACGGGGCAGTGAGGACGCACAGCTGCATGAGCCCGGGCTCTGGAGGGCCTCACGGTCTGGGTGGAGATGCCAAGTACCCAGGTGGGTGCAGAGCCAGCTCGGTGCTGTACTGAAGCTGTGGTCTCGCAGCAGGAGGATTCATTCTGCTGTATAGAAAACAAACACACATTGATGAGCGCTTTGCCATGAGCCAGGCACTGCCCTGGGTGTGGAACAGCACAGAGGCACAGGGGCGTCCCACAGGGAGGCCTGGGTGCCGGTAGGAAGAGGGGGTTGGAGGCCTGGGCTTCCACGGCCACAGGCCCGACTGGGGCTGTCCGTGCTGCCTGGGGATGGAGGTCTCCCAGCCTCTTAGGGCATGAAGACCCCTTCTCAAAAGCAGTTAAAAAGCAGAGGAGTCTGCATGGAGGAGTTTGGCTTTCAGCGTCCACTGACAAAGACTTGAGGCCCTTTGTCCCCTTTGGTCCTACTCAAGCCTCCTCCGGCAGGCTCTTCTGTGGGCTGGAGATGAAACCCTCTTCTGCCCCTGGGCTGCATCCTCAGCCCCTCACCCTGCTGGTCCTGCTTGTCTTCGTCCCTTCCACACTCTTTGAAGCCAGGGGTCTTCCAAACCCAAAAATTTGGCGCCTTCCACCCCTACTTGCAGCCCTTTCCCGGCTTCCCCTCGGCCCTGGTCAGGTCTGAGCTCACTAATTCAGCTCTGCAGCTTCTCCTTGGCCCTCTTTGCTCCACCGCACTCTGTGGACAGATGCTCTGAGTGGGTACTGTGTGTTGGGCCCAGTTCTACTTCTCTCCTGCGCCTCTTCCCGCTTCGGGGTGGAGTGGAGCAGGGAGGGGTGGCATCTGGACACCTTTTCTGTTTGCAGTGCTGGGGGTTGAACCCAGCACTTAACAGGCTCTGCACTGAGCTGCACCCCAGCCCTGGCCAGCTTTTATTTATTTTCATTTTTTGTTTTCTTGAGACAGGGTTTTGCTAGGGATTCCATGTTGGCTTTGACCCTTTATATAGCCCAAGCTGGCCTCGGGCTCTCAGGCCTCAGCCTCCCAAGTGCTGGGATTACAGTGTGCACTGCCATGCCCGACCCCCACCCAAGTTTTAAAAATACCTTAGGAGCTGGGACCATGATGAGTCCCTACAGTCCCAGCTACTTGGGAGGCTGAGGCTGGAGGATCACTTGGGTCCAGGGATTGGAAATCAGACTGGACAACAGTGGGTCCCTGTCTCAGAACAATCAAAAATAATAAATAAAGATTCCTTAGCAAGCTGTCTCACACCCTGAGTTATCCATACTATTAATGCTGCTGAAGGGAAGGGAGCGGAGAAGGCATAGCATGCTGTTTGTCAGGGCACGCAGAGCTGTGCCCACTCCCTGCCCCATCTCCCGTCCCAAACCTGAGGGCCGGGGGTGCCCTGCTCTGCTCCCTCAGTGGAGCCTGGGCCAGGGCATCACCTGGCATGAGATGAGGGGAGGTGGAAGCCAACCTGCCAACCTGTGGCACCTGGGCTCTGTGTGAGCCTGGGAGCCTGTGTCCTGCTGGGGACGGTGAGAAGCCCGGATCCCCATCTGCTCTGTCCTGCACCATGACCTGCTCTCCCTCTTGCCCATCTGGCGGGGGCAGCGGTGAAGGCTGGCAGCCTCTCCTCCCCTGTCTCTTCTCTTCGGGTGCTGACACAGCCTGGGCCATCCTCAGAGGAGGCCCAACATCTGGGGCTCAGACTCGAACCCACGCCTCAGGCACTCAGAGGAGCCTAGCACCCGTGCCTTCACAGGGCCAGGAACCTGCTGCAGCCTCAGCCCTTATTTTTCATCTTTGGCCCTTCCCAGTTTGTTTTGGTTTTATGGGGATCAAAGTGTCTGACCCCTCCTGGGGCTGACAGATGAGGGCCCCGGGGCCCTGGTGAGTGTGGGCGGAAAGGCACACAGGGCCTCGTGCCAGGCGGGAGAGCTGGCACTGGGCTCTCAGTAGCCGGGAGGCTGTTGTTCTGCAACCTGATAACCACCTGGGCTGGGCCCAAGATTACACGCAGCTGTTTGAAGTCCAAAGAGATAAAGGCTTCAGAGTGGATAAGGGAGAGGGATGTGCGGGGTGTGTGTGTGTGTGTGTGTGAGAGAGAGAGTGTGTGAGTGCGTGTGCACACATGCCCATGCACGCCTGTTTGCCTCTGACCAGTGTTAACACAGCGTTGCACCCTAAATCAGATCCCAGGCCGTGCAGGGCTTCTGTGTCCCTGCTCTGTGCGTCTCTCCTGATGTCTGGTCCAGGCTGCAGAGCTCTGTTCCCAGCCTGCCTTGCCAACCCTGCTTCTTTGCTGCCCACTGGGCCTTCTCCCCAGGTGCTTCACACCTGCATTTATTCCTCTGAATAAATCCCTTTGTGCCAGGCACAGACTGGGCACCAGAGAGACCATGGGGAAGCCGGGCAGCAGTGTCTCTGCTCTCATGGGGCTTGCAATGGGGGTGACGAGAAGCCACTAATTGTGGCGGGTGGTGAGGGCTGTGAAGGAGATGCTAACTGTGAGTGTGGAGGGTTCTTGGGTGGAGACAGAAGGATGGTTTCAGAGCTCAGGATGGGCTTTGTAAGGAGGTTTGATGGATAAGAACGAGAGCCAAAGCAAAACCTGGAGAGGAGAGCACAAGTGCAAAGGTCCTGGGGTGCAAGTGAGGGAACCCGCTAGGGACAAATAGAAGCTGGGTGCAGACAAGAGTAGTAGAAAATGACAGTAGCTGGGTGAGATGGCACATTCCTGTAATCCCAGCACTCAGGAGGCTGAGGCAGGAGGATTGCCATGAGTTCCACACCAGCCTGAATCACAGAGTGAAAGTGTCTCTAAAAACAAAGAAGCAAAAAATGACAGTGGACAGAGACCCGACTGGATTAGGGCTGCTAAGGAGTTTAGAGGGGATTGGAGAAGATAAAGCCATGGGAAGATGAGTCAGAGGGAATCTGATTTTTATTTTGAAATTTCCTTTGGCTGCTGTGTGGAGACCAGATTGGAGGGACAGAAGTTCTGGGCAGGGAGCCTCGGTGTGGACAGAGGGACTCTGCTCCGCCACTCGCTGGCTGTCAGACCTTAGGCTGGTGGCTGACCGCTTTGTCTGTGCCTTCCCAGCTGAGAAGTCTTTACCTGAGTTCCGTTGTGTCCTGGCCCAGCTTCGGCCTGGGATGTCCCCAGTGGGACTTTGGCACAGAAGCCAAGTGCTATGTGGGAAATCAGAACAGGACTGTTAGAACGGATGGGCGGGTTGCAGAGGGCCACTGGGAGGAGGCGGTTCAGCCTGAGATCCAAAGGACGCACAAGGCCTCCCAGCAGTGACAGCCCCGCCCAGGAGGCAGGAGCTCCGCCAGGCTGGAGTTACTGTGTGCAGAGTGGCCGAGAGCCAGGTTCTCCAGGCGACAGAGGGAAAAGGAGGCATCCAGATGCCTTCCTGGGCTTTGACGCTAAGGAAGTTGGGTGCTCCTGTTCATTGAGAAACTGCTGTTTCCTTAGAGGGTCTTATGCTCGCTCATTCTCGGGAATTTGTCTTGGTGCCGGGGGTTGAACCCAGGGCTTTTACACTGAGCTACATCTCTCAGCCCTTTTTATGCTTTATTTGAGACAAGGTCTCGCTATGTCACTAAATTCACCCAGGCTGGCCTTGAAGTTTCCATCCTTCTGCCTCAGCCTCCAGAGTGGCTGGGATTGCACATGGCCTGGCATCTGAGGGAATTTTGAGGACTTCTGCACAGGTCTTAACAGGGTCCTCCTGGCGGCATCCACACCTCATACCCTGCTTCCCTCTGCCTTCGGCTCGCTCGCAGGTTTGTCCTTCTCAGCCTGTGAGGAAAATGACTCTCTCAGACACACCTGGACACCCACCAGGGTACCCAGCTCAGCCTGCTTTCCAGAGACCCAGTTTACCCAGACACCTTGCCATATGGGGAAACTGAGGCCATGTGCTTTCTCTAACAGCCTGCTTTCTAGATTCTTGCAAGAATAGTCATTAGAAAATTCCTTATCTTTTTTTTTTGAGGAGTGGTAGTAGAGATTGAACCCAGGGCCTTTGCACTAAATTATATCCTACACTTCTTAACTACTTTTTATTTTGAGACAGAGACAAGGTCTTGCTAAATTGTAAAGTTGCCCAGGCTAGGCTTGAATATGTGATCCTGCCTCAGCCTCTTAGATTTCTGGAATTACTCTGTGTGCCATCTCACCCAATTTAAAGTATTTCTTGAGCCAGGTGTGGTGGAGTGTGCCTGTAATCTCAGCACTTGGGAGGCTGAGGCAGGAGGATCACTGTGAGTTTTTTTTTTTTTTTTTTGGTACCGGGGATCAAACTGGGGTCATTGCGCTTGCGCAGCAGGCGGCGAAACCACTGAGCTAAATCCCTGGCCCAAGGATCACCATGAGTTTAAGGCCAGCCTGAACTACAAACGGAGACCTTGTCTCCAAAACAAAACTTCTTGAGCTCCCACTGTGTGCTGTTTTATGCATTGGAGACACAGCTGTGAATAATACAGAAGAATCCCATCATCTGCTGGGTGTAATAGCTACTCAGGAGGAGGAGGCAGGAAGATTTTTTTGGGTACTGGGGATCGAACTCGGGACCTTGGACTTGCAAGGCAAGCAGCGGCACCGCTGAGTTAAATCCCTGGGCCAAGCAGGAAGATTTTTGAGGTTAGCTTAAGCAATTTAGCAAAACCCTGTTTCAAAATAAAAAAATATTTTAAAAATAGAGCTGAGATGTAGCTCAGCATGCCCTGGGTTCAGTCCCCACAGCCCCCCTTCACCCCCCTAACCCCCCCCACTTGTTCTTATGGGACTAATATTCTACTTGGGGAGACTGACAATCCAAATATAATTAACAATAAGTACGCAGATAATTGTGTCAGGTCCTGCTATAAATAAAAAGCAGAGGAAGGGGGCTGGGGATTTAGCTCAGTGGTTCCACCCCCTGCCTCGAAAGTGCAAGGACCCGAGTTCGATCCCCAGTACCAAAAAAAAAAAAAAAAAAAAAAATGCAGAGGAAGGGCTGGGGCTGAAGCTGGGCATGGTTGGCCTTGATTTGGAGTCATCACAAGAATGCTGAGCCGGCTGCTCAGGAAGAGGAGGCTCAGGGACCTGCAGCTGGAGGCAAGGCCCTGGCAGGGAGGAGGGACAGGCGGTCTATAGGGAACGAAGAGGACAGGGCCTTTACTTTGTAAGGTGGGGCCTGGGCAGGCTTGCAGGGGGCATGTGGGGCCAGTGTCCCTTCCCTTGAGCAGAACATTACAAGTCTTGGTGTCAGTCAGGACTGCAGGCTACACACCTGAGCCCAGTCTAGACTCTGTCCCAACCAGACTGCACACAGCCTGACCCAGGAACGCTTTGCTTTCTGGTGCATCTGTGGTGGGCCAGTTTTGATGTTATCACAAGCCCGGTGTGGAACATTTGCATTTATTCATTTCCCGGTCGTCTGTCAGCTCTTATCAGCCCATCTGGCTGGCTGCAAGCTTCCTCAGGGACAGATGACTGGGTCTGCCAGTCATTTGAATTAAGAGGTCCTGGGGGGACAAACGAAGTAGGGAAAAGCCGATCCACATCCACAGCCCTGAGAGTTAACGAGTTAAAGTCTAGCCTCAGCTGTACCATTAACTCCCCTGTGAACCTGTTTCCCTATCTGTAAAACAATAGGAATAGACCTGCATCAGTGACTTGCAAACTACTTTAAAATACCAACAGGATCTGTGGATCTCTGCAGAACAATGAATAAGTGCAGGGAAACTTTGCATATGACTGGAGAAGTGGGGTCACAGACCCTAAGGCTTCTCCCAGTTCTGCTGATGGGATTTCACGTGCTCCAAGCTCGGGAGAGAGACTGGTTTTAATCTCGTGTGGGCGATTCAGGATTTGTTTTTGTCGGGTTCTGAAAAGTCTCTCAGCCTCCAGGCCTGGACTCGGGGTGTGAAGAAGGGACGGCCCGCTGGAGACAGGGGAGGTGGCCTTCGGGGTGTGTGGTGGGGGAACAGGAAGTGGGAAGGGGCTGGGTGCCACTGGCAGAAGGCGCAGCACCCAGGACCGCCCCGGATCTGGATGGGCTCTTTCCCTGTGCTCAGGCAAAGGGGGAGAAGGGGCCCCGTGCGTCGGGAGGGTTGTCTCCCCTGCCCACGGTTGAGGATCTGGAAGATGGGGGTGGCCTTGGGCCAATCTGGCACCACCCTTTCTCACCAGGCAGTGCCTCTCCGCACGTCCACACCCAGTGCCTCGCTGGCAGGGGCTGTAACCTGACCCCTGGGTGCCAGGCAGGGGGAGACCCACCCTATCCTCTCCAGTCGCCTCCCCCAGCTCCCTTCACACCCCGAGGCACTCCCAGGCCCAGCCTAGGGAAGAAAGGGTGCTCGTTCGCAGTGGGCGCAGGACAGCTGAGGATTAGGGGCCGATGACAGCTTGTCAGTGTCTCGAGGACAGCTCCATAATCCCCAGAACTCCGAGCTGCAGTGCCCTTTGATCCAGCTTCTGAAAGCTTGATTAGGAGACACAGCCCATGTTTCCATAAAGGGGAGAACGATTGTTTCCAGCTCAGACAAAGGACTCTTTGTACAGCCCTGGGAGCCTCTCTGAGGGAGAGGAGGACGCCCCGCCCGCCCGGGCAGGGCAGGGCAGCCGCGTGGCTCCCGCCAAGCCTGCCGCGCGGAGGGCAAAGGGCGTTTGTGACGTCAGTTCCCCGCCCAGGGCCACACCCAGGTTCGGAGGAGGGGAGGGGGCTCCCTTCCGAATTGCTCCAGTTTTGAGCTTTTCAAAATGCAGCCTTTATCCTCCTTTAGGGCCGATGTCGGGGCGTCTTGCCGCCCCCTGTCTTTGCAGAAAGGGCTGCCTCCTCACTGCCAGGTTTCCACACCTGAGCAAACAGGTATCCGGGTAGGGAGAGTGATTTGGAACTCAGAGTGGGAGTTGGAGCTTGGAGAACATTGGGGAGCCGGAATGGAGAAGGGCACAGAGCGAGGGGAGGCAGCTGTGAATGCAGCAGCAGCTGGCCAGTTGGGAGCTGCCCCGTCCTGCACCTGCTGCCCGGGGCCTGGCCACCCAGCACCTCAGATTTGCAAAGTAAAGCAGGCTGTTGCAGAGGGTGAGAGGGAGAGGGGCTGCCCTGGTGGGGCTTTGGCCCAACCCCAGTTACACCCACTGCACATTTGTTAGTTAAATCCAACGCCGTGCTCCCTACCAGGCTTCTGTCTGTGTGGACAGGCGAGGGAGCCTGGGACCAGCCCCAGACTGGCCTCCTGGTCAGAGGCAGCTGCAGGCCAGGGACTGAGCAATTCAGGGGGACCAGGGCCAGGCATGGGATCTCACCTGTGGAGACCGCAGTGGCTCATTCGGAGGGAAGTAGAAAGTGTCAAATGTCGACTTCCCAAACATTGCCAGAACCACCTCTTCCTGATAGTGCAAAGCCCAACTTATTTTGCACCTTGGTGAGGAAGAGTAAGAATTGGCAGTTTGGTTTAAAATGGGCCTTTCTCATCAGATTGGGGGTTGCATGCCTGGGAGGCTGAGGCAGGAAGAGGGCAGTTTTAAGTCCATCCTGGGCGACTTAGCAAGTCCATCTCAAAATAAAGAGGGTTGAGGATGTGGCTCAGGGTGGAAGCCCTGGGTTAAATCCCCAGTAACACACATGCACATGCTCCTCAATATGGTAAGTGAATAGATGAATAAAGTAGGCCTTCCTCTGGGTGGTGCTTTGATTAAGATTGGGTGAGGATCACGTGTTGCAGTTGGGGATCACAGCGAGCAGCCAGGGATTCCACAGTGCCGGGAGGGGGGGCGGACAGACTGGGAGGGCCACTGTCAAAGAGCGGATGGGCCACCTTGGAGAAGTTCCTGAGGTGAAAGGTCAAGTGTCCTCCCTGAGCTGCGGTCTCCTAAAATGCTAAAGTCATGCTAATGCGGACCGGAGAAGAGTAAAGTCGTGTAAATGGAGCCAACTATTGCCGTCGGGGTGGGTAGTGGCTGGCTTTTGTGTGCTTCAGGTCTCTGTGTGCAGGGAGAGCTATCAGGGTGGGGAGGGGGGTCTTCGGCCCCCCCCCAAACAGATCAGAGTGCGGGGTGGACGCAGAAAAGCTCTGGGCTGGGGAATGAGAGGGAGAAGAACTCCATCTGACCCCAGGAGAGCCAAGACCCAGGCTGCCGGGCTGGAAACCGGGCCTGCAGGTGCCAAGCAGGTCCCTGCCCATGGAAACGGCCCTGTTGACTTTGGCAGCCACGCTGAGCCTCTCCTAACCCCAGAACGGCTTGAAGCTGACACTGGGCCCTGCTGGGGGTCTGGAGTTGTTCCCAGCCGGTCCTGCTCAGGCTGGCCGTGGCAGGCTGCCGTCCGGGGAGAGGAAGGTGCTGCTCCAGAGGGGGCTGGTGTCTGCCCTCTGGCAGAGGCCAGGGCTGAGGACGTCAGGACTGGATGAGTGGCCCGTGGCTTCAGACTGAAGACCCAGAGAGAGAAGAAGGCAGGGGAGAGAACAGAAGAGTTTTGGGAATCAACTACCACCCTATGGACTTCTATGGTGACCCTACAAGGAGCAGAAATCTAGATATGTGCTATTAAATCATCACAACCCACCATTTATAGAAAAGCACCGGGCATGAAGAGCTTTTGTGACTGAACAGACACTGAAAGGAATTCACAGGCCTGTAATCTCAGCACTCAGGAGGCTGAGGCAGGAGGATCATCAATCATAAGGTGGAGGCCAGCCTGGACTACAAAGCAAGATCCTATCTCAAAAAAAGAGAAGGAATTCAAAGTTAGAGGTGCACCATGTGGCAGCATCCTCTGGGGCTATGGAGGCATCTCATTTCTGCCACAGCCCAGAGGGAAGCTCAGCTCCATCCTGCCCTGGCTGGAGGGATGGTGGTAGGCGTCTTGAGAGGAAGAGAAAGAAGGAAAAGGGCAGTCAGTCCAGAGATGGGGAGGCGGAGAATGCCCGCCTGTGTTAACAGCCTGTTTTTTTGGCAGAGCCTAGCACTTGCTAAGCAAGGGTGCCACCACTGAGCTCCAGCCCCAGCCCCTAACACTCTGACTGTAAAAGTCACTTTGTATCCACTGTCCCTTTCCAGAAAGAGACTGGAGTGGGTAGAATGGAGGGCAGGAGAAGGGAGGGAGGGAAAAGCCCCGGAAAGACTGGAGAAGGGTGGGAGGGCAGAGCCTGACCCGGGCTGAGACCGTCTGTTCTCCGGGCCAGCTCCCACCCCTTGTCACCGTGGAGATGGGTGGCCCAGGACTCTGTCCAGCTTCTGCTGCCCACGGGCAATCTTCTGGCCAAGATTCAGCTTTGTCGCCAGCCGGGGGAGGTGGGTGGGGAGTCTGATGGGTCAGAGGTGCTGCTGAAAAATAAAATCCCTAAATCCTATAAGAAGCCACAGCCAAATTTCTTTTGTTTTTCAGTACTAGGGATTGAACTTAGGGCCTTTTCCTGTGCTAAATCTCCAACTGTCATTCATATATATATATATATGAATTATTTTTATTTTATTTTGAGACAAGTTCTTGCTAAATGGCTAAATTGTCCAGGCTGCCCTCAAACTTGTGATCCTCCTGCCTCAGCCTTCCAGAGCACTAGGATTATAGGAATGTGTGCCCAGCTAAAAGCCACAGTTTCTTAAGGAAACCAGTTGAAGGAGAGCAAGATCTAGGCTGGACACTCGGGTCTCTCAAGCCTGGGGTACTGACCTTTCATACCATGGTTGGTCCATGCCTCAGCCTCCCCAAAGGGATTTAATTATAACAACAGGAAGATTACTTCATACATCTTTTTCTCTGGGTGTATTGGCCTGTAATTCCAAAACCCAGGAGGCTGAGGCAGGAGGAATTGCCTCAAAATTCAATGCCAGCAGAGGCTTCATAGTGAATTCCAGGCCAGGCTCACTACATAGCAACACTTTCTCAACAAATAAATACCACAATGAATGTAAGCATTAATTGTTGTAAACATGAGCTAAAAATAATAACAACAATAATGAAAATGGGGACAGGGGACGCAGAGATGGAAGGAGGTGGGTGGGAGGGAGAGGGAAATAAGACGTGTCCTGGACATGGACCTGCTCCCTGAGATGAATGTAAACTTCATGCACAGCAACTATGTACTAATAAAAAAAATAAAGATTAGTAAGAATACTAAAATAAGCAAAAAGCAGTTGTTATTTACTGAAATACATCTCAGTCCAGACACTCAAGTTAAATGGTTTTTTAAAACAGAGTCTCGCTAAATTACCCAGACTGGGCTCAAACTTCTCCTCCTTCCTTAGCCTCTGAGTGCTGGGATTATAGGCACGCACACACTTTTTCCCCAATACTGAGGATTGAAGCCAGGGCCTTGGACGGGCCTGGCAAATACCCTACCACTACATCCCCAGCCCTTATGTTATTTATTTGTTTATTTAGTTATCTTATACTGGGGATTGAACCCAGGGCCTTTGAACTGAACTGAGCCATTGGAGACAAGGCCTCATCATATAGTACAGGGTGGCCTTGAACTCACTGTGTAGCCTAGGCTGCTGTTGAACTCTTGGAGATCCTCCTGCCTCGGCCTGGTGAGTACTGGGATTACAGGCGTGTCCCACCACGCCCAGCTTTAAAATTTTTTTTTTGATAGAGTCTTGTTAAATTGCCTAGGCTGGGCTTCAATTTTCAATCCTTTTGCCTTAGGCTTCCAGAATGCTGGGAGATTACAGGCATAAATCACCACACCTGGCCTTATTTTTATTTTGAGGCAGAATCTCACTGAATTGCCTAGAATGGCCTAGAATTTCTGATCCTCCTGCCTCAGCCTCCTAAGTAGGTGGGATTACAAGCAAGTGCCACCCAGTTAAATATTCTTGTACTCATTCCACAAATGAAATAGCCCCGGGGCTGGGGATTTAGCTCAGTGGTTTCGCCACCTGCAAGGACCCGAGTTCGATCCCTGGTACCAAAAAAAAAAAAAAAAGAAAGAAACCGCCCCAGTACTGTCAGGTATTTTTCTTTCTTTTTTTATTTTTGGTACCGGGGATCGAACTCGGGTCCTTGCACTTGCACAGCAGGCAGCGAAACCACTGAGCTAAATCCCTGGCCCCGAGGTATTTTTCTCACTTGATCTCAGATTCCTTTAAAGACCTTCAGTCCCAGTTGAGCATGGTGGCACATGCATGTAATCCCAGCACTCTGAGGCAGAGGCAGGAGGATCACAAATTTAAACCAACCCTGGACCATTTAATGAGACCCTGTCTCAGAACTTTAAAAAAAAGTTAAAGGGGTTTGGGATTTAGCTTAGTGTGAAGACCGCTGTGTCCCGGTCACGGTGCTGCGACACTGGCAGTCGTTTACTGTGAGCAGTGACCCAGCAGTGCGTGAACCGGATGTGCTCAGCGCCCTGGGTGCTATCGATTTTGTTTTCCTCGTTTCACAGATGAGGAGATGGAGACCGGAGCAATTTGCCTGTGGGGCTGGGGTCTGGGCAGGGGCGCCCGTGTTCTTCACACCGGCTCTGGCCGACATGTGGTGCGCGCCCCAGCAAGCCTTCGCTGCTCATGCCAAGCAGAAATCCCTGTCTGTGACAAGCGGTTACTTTTGGGCCCTCGAGGCAGTCGCAGACATCAATATTGCAAAAACAAAGCAAATGAACCACAAATAAGGTCCATCCTCTTTTGAAAAATGCTGGAACTGTCAAGACTTCGAGGAAGGGATTGTTGTATTTGTGGCTGTAGACAGGATAGTCCTGTTATGTTAGGTGGGATTATGAATTTGTTGTTATCTTTCTTTCTTTCTTTTCCCTGGTACTGGGAATTGAACCCAGGACCTTGCACTTGCCAGGCAGGCGAGGCACCACTGAGCTACATCCCCAGTTGGCCCTATTGTCTTTATTTAGACATGAGGTATGGTACAAGGAGATGCATTTGGCTAGTGAATTGACATGGGTGGATGTGGCAATATGCAGTGCCAACTTGACTGGCTTTGGGGTCCATCCAGGGGATTGGTGAGCACACTGGTGGGAGTGTCTGGGTGGGTCGTGGAGATATAGGTTGGAGTTTAAATCTGGTCCTTCACCCTGGTTTGGCACTATTCCTCTGCCTTGCTTCCCAGCTGCCATCAAGTGGACAGCTCTGCTCCACCACACCCTGTCACTAGGATGTGTCGTCTTCCTTTGAGCAAGTCAGCCATGGAATAAATCTCCTTAAAACATGAACTAAATTTGACTTCTTGTCCTTCAACTTGGGTATTATGTCCAGCAAGGGAAAAGCTAATACATTTGTATTAGTTACTTTTCTCATTGCTGAGACAAAATACCTGACACCCAAAGTTAAAGAGGAAAGGTTTATTTAGTTCACAAACTGTAGAGGTTTCAGTCCATAATCAGCTAGGTGGCTTGGCAGAGGGCATCACAGAGGAGAAACGGTTTATGGTGGGCAGAAGACAGCAAAGCAAGCAAGGGACAAGGGATAACTGGCAAGCTACAAGGGACGAGCCTCTTTGGGTCCCTTATATCTTATCCAGGCTGCACACCTTGATCCCAGCATCACACACCCTAGATCTAGCCACCTCCAAAA